TGCAAACATTATTCCTCTATATTAGGGAAGATAAAAGGCCAGATTCTGCTTCTCTGGTGTAAGGTACTTGTGCATGAGATGCTGCTGGAGCTTACTATGGGCTGAGTTATCACTCCTAGAGGAGAGGCAGGCAATGGGGAATTGTCACTGCTCTGGTGGTGTGGGAGAGAGCAGGTGTTTGCTTTGGGGCACTTGGTGTAGCTCTAGGAAGACACTGGGGTGATTTGGTGCAGCATGCCAGGAGGAACCCTGCTCTCTGCCACCACTGAAAGCAGTGAATAAACTGCCTGCTTACAAATATTGCTGTCCTGTGATCCTGGCAGATCATGAGCCTGAGCTTGTGTGCTGTGGTCCAACAGCTTCTGGTCCATAGTCTGCTGCTGTCAGGAAAGCTAGGTGCCAGGGAAGATGGTTAAAGGCTTAAGGAGATCTGCAAGCTGCAGGGAGAGGAGTCAGGGAGTCATTTCACCTGTGCCAGGCTTGAAAGGTTTATTCTCTTTGAGAACAGGGAAAAAAAAAATTGTGGAGAAAGCTATTCCAGAGCATTCTGGTGATAGACAGGGACTTCTGGAAAAAGCCTAATGACATGATATTTTATTTTTACTTCAGTCCATGTTTCTATTTCCTCCCCTCTGGCCTTTTATAAATTTCAGAGTTACACAAACCCTTCCTAAGAATGCCCTTCTCTCTGCCTATATGCTGGTCTTGCACATAAAGAGGGAGAGCTTGAAATCTGGTTGTGAAAGCTCCCCTTTAATTGGGCAATAACAGCCTCATCTCCAGCTCTATTCATTTGACATGGTAAAGTCATTTTTATTTGTTAGTGATGGGAGCTATTTCCTACTTAAAAGGTCTTCTACCTGTTTTTTTACACCAGTAACATTCATGTGCTGCAGTTGTCATAGTCAGAAATGATGGATTGTTAGTTTATATGGCATTTTTCAAGATTCCTCTCTATATAAGTAAATATTGAATTGCCTTTGCATATTTTAATTCACCTTAATCTGTTTGAGTTGTACTGGTCAAATTTTTGTGTGATGTGAATTAAGTAGTGTGACTTTTGTCCATTTTTTTTCTTAAACTGAAAACATTTGAAGGTGCACAGGAAAGAAGAAGTCTATTTCTTTTCTGACAAGGTTAAAGCCCAAGAGTAAGTCAGACTAAAACTCCCAAAAGCTCACTCTGGATATGTTTACTGAAATATTCAAATAGATTTCATTCTCTCTATGTAGTGAAACTCTGGTGGCATATGGGGAAGTAAGATATATTACAATAAAACTGATATAAAACAGTTGAATTCAGAAATAGTGGCAGGAGATAATTTTAGTTCATTATGATTTAATTCAATTAAATGCAGCACTGTTAACTGCAGACTAAGAAGTATTAGTTGTGCCTGTGCAGGCACACACAAGCACTATTTATTCTCTGCCGCATCTCTTTTTGCAGAAGAAATGACACCAGTAAAAAGGGGGTGCTCGATGCTTTCACAGCACTGTAAAACTCTCTATACCTCACAGACCTCAGTGGAAATTTGACCTGATCAAGGAGAAACATTGAGGGAAGGTGTTGGAGAGTAGACCCATGAAAACCCAGGAAGCTGTCCTTGGGTAGTATATGCTCTTTCAAGGTCAACAGTGTTGGTGCAGGCATGTGGATTAATTTATCAGATAGTGTCTCAAATGAGGTTGCCACCAGCAGGGAAAATATAACTGCTGATATTACTTTTTTTTTCTTCAGAAACGAAACAATCCATCAGAACAAACTGCTCAGTTTGAACTGCCTGTGCCTTGTCTATCCCAGGCACTGCTCTCAGTCTCTGGAAGGGGTAAAGTTAATGATCCCCATCCTCCTCCTCCGCTTACCTGAGCTGTTCCCTGCTCTGCACCTGAGCACAAGAGCTCAAACCCACAGAGGCACGCAGGCTTTCAAGGACCATGGATTTCAATCTGAGCTCTCTGCCTAAATGCCTTTGTGCATCCATGCCTAAGGGCCATGCTGGCTGTGCCCCAAATCCCAGCTCAGGCTCACAGCCTAGGAGGAGGCTGATGAAGGGCAGGTGGCACAGGACCGAGCTGTCTCCTCTCTCCCAGGGCTTTCTGACCCTGCGGGTGTGGGACAGTGAGCTGTGACAGAGAGTGTGCTTGTTGTAGCAATGGGAAAAGGTTTAGCACGGACCTAAAGGCACCTGCAGGAATGCTTGGCATGATGGCATAGAGTAACAGGTAGAAGCTTGGCTGGGATTTTTGTATGGATTCAATAGAAAGAGATTTCTTACTTGTCAAGTATGTTTTATTTTACTGTGTAAGCTGTGTGGCCCTGTTCTATCCAGGTCAGGCAGCCAGTGTTCATGCTTAAGGACTCCCTGTAGTCTTTACAACCTCAGACCCTGCAGCAGATGGGTGTATTACAAAGTCCTTGTTTATGTTTTGTGATTATGTGATTCTATCATGGCATGGGTTAAACACCTAGCTCCTGTAACTTTGAACACACAGATGCTTCCAGTCCCAAAGAGTCAGTCTGCAGTCTTGGTCCAGGATAAAAGATTGCAGTAAAAGAAAAGTAACTGGAAACTAAAAACAAAGAAATAAAATTTTAATTGTGACAATGATTACCCTTACACCAGCTGCTTGACCACTGTTGGTTTACATGCAAGCTAGCAGAAGGGTATGTACTGTTGAATTATTCTTGAGGGTCAGCCTGGGAAACAAGAAAGACACTGAAAAGGGGGCTGTGATACAGCAGTGATTTCATCTGCAAATGCTTTGGGATTGTTCTGTATTGCAGGTAACTGTCTTTGATCACAGCCTTGTAACCATCACCTTTAATTTGTAGCACAGAGGTTACTATCTAGCACCCAGCTAGCCAAATGAAATGTATGGCTTGATTAAGGATCTCTTTTGTCAGTAATTTGTGCCTAATGTTTTTAGCTTTCCCACGGGCTGTTACAGAAAATGGTAAATCTGGTTTAAATGAAACCTGATACTGTTAATGGTTTAATAGCAGCTGCCACAGGGTTATGGCATTTTTCAACAGATGCTTCTGTTTCATTTTAAGCCTACACTAAGTCTTAGAATATATTTACATAATTAATATAAAGTACACGCACATAATAATGACAATATTTATAATTTTAAAAGATTTCCTTAAATGACTGCTGTTATCTAATCACAATATAAAACTTGAAAAAGAAAGGCATATTATTAAAATAATAATTTATATTAACCTCTTCAAAAAAAGTTGTAGAATGCAGCACAACTGTGAACACTTGTCATCTCCTAACATGGCAGTTATTGGTGTAGGCAAATCCCTTGCTGCTTTAGAAAAAGAGACAAAAAGCCTGCCTGCACCTGAGTTATGCTTGATATCTTACCTACTGTTCAGTCAGGAGTATAAAAGAAGTGATACTTGTACTCAAATACATCAAGAAAGAGCTGTGTCGAGGTGTGTACTTACCTACAGAAATATTTGAAGCATTAAAGATTTGTGGATGATTATTGGCTGCACAATGTCATCTGATGGAGGAAATCCCTGCTAATATAAGAAGACTTTGGCATTTTAAGCTGTTCATAGTGGGTGATTGGTTTGAATGGATTTCTTCTGTTTCGAGGTCTTATTCTTGACCTCCAAGAAGTACTGAGGGTGTATCCTAGAGGATATTCAGAATGAGAGGATGCTCCCCAGTATTGTGGCCTTGTGTAAATATGTGTCTGTTCACAGTGAGAAGGAGAAAAGGCTCCTCTTTCTCTGCCTTGGCTGGAAGGCAAGGTAACGTTGAGCACGCAAGTGTACCAAGGCATTTACTGCTATGAACTGTGAGGACTGAGCTGGGAACAATAAAACATGAAAAACATGCAAATAACAGAAAATTGTGTCTATTAAAGAAGCATCCAAGATGGTTTATTTAAGAGATTAGGCAGTCACAGTTCTCTCAGTAGAATGTGTAGGAGCAGTGGTGAAGCAGATGTTTCGCTGTGTGGGAGGTGTAGCTGATGTATTTGCTCCCCTTGTCCCCAGGGTGACTACCCTTCATAGCTGTTAGCCTGGGTATGATGGTAGTCATCCTCTGTGTTCTTGCTTTTGTGTGGGTTTTGCTTTATTTGTCCTTTTGAATGTATTAGAATTGTTCAACCGGACCTGGGTCAGTGCCCACATAAATTAAAGAAAACAGTTAAAAATGTGGCATAGGACCAGATTTCCTTCTCTTTGTGTTTACCCTTCTTTCTTCTGTACCCAACAAAATCTTACAGAGGGATTTACGTAAGTTCATTACTTTAGGGTGTTTCTTCACCACTAGAGTTCAAATCTTTGCCATGGGAACACAACTGCTCCAGGCCCCAAGGCATTGGTAACCCTCTTCCACACCTCCAAGCTGCTCAGAAGAATGTCTATACCTATCTTATGAAAAGTGTAAACAGTGTTTGCCAGTTCTCTCTGAGAACTTTTTACCTCAATATCCTTTTAAACCCTACACTGAGGTTCTTTTCGCTAAGAGCTTTAATTTAAAGGAAGAGGGTTATTAAGTACCAACATCATTCCCACGATTGGGTGGAGAAGAGTTTGTGACACAGTGAGGAGCAAGTTTGCAAGTGTTCTTATCAGGTGTTTGGATGAAATTTTCAAAGCTGCTGCAAGATGAATCCAGTCGTGAATCTCAGTAAAGCCTCATAGGGACACCTCAGATTTCCAAGTTGTTTCGTTACTCCGTCTTAAAGATTTCTAGTGGCATGTTTTTCCACCACTGGTAAATAACAACGGGAAATTAATGCTTTCTGAAAGCCAAGGGAAAAAAAAAAAATCATAAAATAACCACACAAGAAAAAGCACACCATTTTTTGTTGGAGTGGAAAATTGTTCAAATATATGATTTTTGGGAAGAGTTGTTAATTGTTTCAGTGTACAAAATTGGACCAAAGGTATGAAGTCTGTAGAGCTTTCTATGATAAAGTCAATTCCCTTGTGATGTTTTTGTAACAAATGAATCTTTTGTCCTCCTTCGCTAGGTTCTACCACATAGAAAAGCTGTGAAACCAGGCATGGTACTCCTCTTTGAACTCTTCCTTCTTCGTGGCACCTATACCTGGATTGATCGAGAAGTGGGATGGGGAGTTTTTCCCTTATGTGATAACCATTTTAATACTCTGGAGGGAAAATTTAAATGTCCCTTCCTCAGAGGCCATTATGACTCCAAAATTGACCGATTCAAAAAAATTGAAAACTTTATTTCTCAGGACTTGGATCATTGGTTATGCAATCTCTACTTTCAGGTTTGTATTTTAAAAATTATTTAGTTTTCTCTACATTTTTCTTTTTGATTCTGAAATTGGATTCTGAATTGACTGTCCCATTTACTGGGATGTCTGATTTAATCAATAATCATGGGGAAGAGATACATGGGAAAATTATATGGGAGAAAACTGCAGGAAACAGAGTACAAAGATGCAGGAACTTCCTAAAATTCTTATAACATCTTGGACAGCTAGGCTTCACAAACTGCATACAACAAGAATGTTCTGGCTTTCTGGAATCCCAAACTACTTTTTTTTTTCTCTCTCTCTCTTTTTTTTTTCTCCTCTTCATAGATAATTAAACTACCGCAGGATTCAGATAAGCAAAATAAGTGTGGCATGCATGTTCATCTGCCTCCCGAACTTCTCACGTGTTCAAGCCCTGCTGAAAAGAATGGTGTCTCAGGAAAGGTTGTACAGTCTGGACCACAAGGTGATGGATTGAAACTTTGATGGTTACATTCAGGTTTTCACTGGATCAACCCATAGTTTCATTCCAATGTTGACTTATGACTATTGTTGGTAAGCTAGATTTTCTTCACTCAGATATGGGCCCGACATGTGTTATAGCAGAAATACTTATTATTAAGGTGGTTTAACTTTGTTTTCAGGTGTGAGCAGTTCAAACCAGCCTCATTGCTGAGGATGGAATGGCCATGTTGGCCTATGCTTAAGTTTGAATAATATTTGGAATGTCACAGCAGTAACAGGTCAAGTGTTTATGGCACCAAGCTCACAGGAAGAGAAAAGAAAAAGATGTTTTTTGGTGTACTTCTGGAAGAACTTTAGCACCTCTCTACAGCAAGGGCTGCAACAAGGACTTCAGATTCAACAGGGAGATAGCTCTGGTATCAGAAGCATGCCTTACGCTTACTCCTCTGAAATTGTCTTAAGATTCAATCAAGTGATAACCCATAGGAAGGACAATTATCATTTGCTTGTGTACAGCAGACCTCCCCAGAAGGTTTCTCAAAAAATTGCTGAATGATCCTTTTAGACTGATCCTCCCTGGCTTCTGTGAATCTTCTTATGCAGCTACACAACTCACCATATTGCAGTGGACTCACAAATTGCTCCTCTACTGGTAGAAATCCAGTGATGAGAAGAATAGCAGGATGCTGCTGTCGTTCTTTTCTTTTTTCTGCATGTGGGATATCAGACTGAACAAAACAGCTGTGAACAAAAATAATTCATTTTTGCTATACAGATATTTCTGTACTCTCTCTTGTTTAATGGACTGGAGCATTCAGCCAACCCATAGATTGTAGTCTGTGTGTGAATATTATGTGCAGATCTGAAACAGAGAATTAGTTCTTCAGGACAGAGGTTCCTTAGGCATTTGAGAAAAGCAGTAGTGATGCACTGCAGATAGCACAGGAGGAGAAAGGAGAGCTATGGAAAGGAAAGAAAGAGAACACATAAGCAATAATCATTTAGCATGGTAAATGGGCAGCTCAGGTTAGAAGTATAACTTGAAAAGAGTCCAGGAGAAGTATTTTTCAGACAGTTAGTGGTGATTTAAGAGATAAAGAAAATGAGGTTTGCCCTGAGATGCTTTTAGGCTAAGCAGCAACTGCACTGTGATCAAAAGGCTTTCATATAACCACCCTGATAAGAGAAGCATGGAGGTGTAAACATACACTATACTGAGGATTAAGGTCTTTTTTGTTGTCATATATCTTCTACATATCTGCTAAGTTGCTTTGAGGTGCAGCAAACCATGAATAGCGAATCCAAAAGGTAGAATTGAAGGCAACTCTTGTCAACAGTGAAGAATTATGGACAAACTCTTAATAGATCAAACTTATTTGGTCCTACCATCAATCTTCACATGCATTTGGAAATGCACATAGAGGGTGCAGCTAAATAGGTCATGCTTTCTGGAAACACTTGGAAAAACTTGTGATGCTCAGTTTGAAAATTCAAGAAAGACATGCTTTTGAGAACTGAAAAAGAGCATTAGTGTATGTCCTATTTTACATGTAGGCCTCTGAAATTTGCCAATAAGTCAATCATGGAAGATCTGTAATTTAACTGCCAAACAGATTTGTGCAAACGAAATTTTTAGGAGTAATTTTTGATATTGCTTATATTTATTTATTTTTCTTGGAGTGTTCTTTAAAGATATTATTAGCTGCCAATATCCCCCATGGGTTTGTTTTTTAATGTATCTATGCAGTACTACAGTATGCTGTTTCTGCTGGTGATATGTTGCTAAGAGATTTAATAATGGGTAAACAAACACAACATGTGGTAATCCATTTCAAATTAAAAGTTTATTAAATGCTAGCTTGATGACTTTCTGGCTATTTACAATTAAAGGAATGAACCTTAGAGAACTGGAGATCACGTGGTGAAAATCACAACTTTAACATTTGCAGCAGAAAAATGTGTTTATGATCTATGGCAAGCTGTCTCACATTGATATGCCCTATAAATATAGTATTATATCTGTTAAACCACCAAAAACTGTGGTGGGGAGGGGAAAGCTCTGTTAGAGTGACATTAAGGTTGAGACACAAACCAGAGAAAGCAAGAACAGTCTAAATGAAGACGGGTGCCCTGTAACTCACTCTACTGCAGTAGTCTAAATAGTGAGTGATCTTATATATCAATACCATATGTGGTACTGCAACATATAAGCAAAATAAAGCAGTTTAGAAGATGGTGTTTTAGCCTTCACATCAGGTTTGTCTTGGTTTTGGAAGTTTAAAACAGAACCTTCATATTATTTCCATTAACTCCAGGCTACATTATTCTTTTAAGCCATTGCTCTGTGTAGGGCTAGGTAAAGCCATTCCCCGCTGCACAGGCTCTTTGGTCTAGAGCACAGTGCAGGGAAATGCAACATAATGCCTCCCATTCCATCTCCTTTGCAGATCACAGATGCACATTATCAGATCTGGCATGTCTCTTTGTCCAAACCATGTCTTCTCTCCATTCTTTTGAAGTGGTATTCTCTTAAGAGGTTCATGGCAGAAGACAGCTTCTGCTTTCGCCACCACCATCCTTTGCTCTTCTTGGAAAATATTCTGCTGTTGATCTGTTGCCCCTTACAGGATCAGCAGTCCATGTCAGAGAATAAATGACAATTTCTGAGTAGAATTCATTACCTACTGTTGTGTGAAAGGTGGTAACCGCTCTAACAGAAGGAGCTTAGGTAAGAAAATTTAATGTAACTACCAGGAATGTTGCCTTGGTAGGCATGGATCTAAGTAACAAGGGCTTCTAAAATGCATGAAAACTTTGAAACTGTGAGGTTCCATATAGACACTAAACATACAAGTCCATCAAGAAAGCATTCTCACAGTGAAATCCAGCAAGGCCTTTTTTGACTTTAGCATCCACAGGAAGAGGGGTTTCACATGTGCAAAATGTCAGCGTAACAGTATTTTTTTGGTTGACAGCCTTTTCATCCTCATAAAAGTGGATGGACATTACTCACACTCATGAGTTCTACAGCTCAAACACTTTTAGGTCAGACACAGGCTCATTTGGAATATGTTGTTCCATATTTGTTGGGAACCTTCATCCAGATGCTTGCTTTTGCAGCTGTGCTGTTGATCTGACTTGACAACAAACACCAATTTGTACCCAGCTATAGTTAGCACTGTACCAGCTCATACTGACATGCACTCAAGACCTGAAAAGGGTGCTTATAAGGTAGAAGGTGGAACAGTCACCAAGGACACTGAAGCAGTATTTTTTTAGTGCTAAGTTTTTTGTATTTTTGGTGAACCTATAGAGTCATGACCAATTGTGCATTTTTTTTTTAAGCAATAATTATCCCAAGCAGGGAGTGTGAAATCAAGAAGGGAGTTTTACTTAGCCTGACTATTCTGGGGGAGAGGTGTTATCAGACAAGATTTTGAGGGAAAGTGTTCAAAGATAGCCAGCCTAGTTTGGTCCCAGCAGCATGATCTTGCTGTAAGAGAGCTGTGTCACAATAGTGTGAATACACTGCTCCCAGTGTCTGGGCTAGCAGAAATGTTTGTTGTTATTGCTTTGCTAGGTAGATTTGTCACATAAAAAGACTTCCACTACCTCAGCTATTTTTGGACTAAACACCTACATAAAGGTTTTCTGAGCCTAAAATCTTCTTTCCAGAAAGTCTGCTTGTCCCTTATAACCCCCTGCTCTACTATGGGGGGAAAAGAAAAAAAATATATAAATGCAGCTGTTTGAGAATGGTTTTAAGGACAGTAATTCTTTTTTACAATGAACAAATATCTCATTTTCCCCTTGCACACAATTTTTTCTTTCCCCTTACAAGGTTTGCTTTCTAACGGCAGTGCATGTGGCTCCTGTGCCCTATGCATCAACCAGAAGAAAAGTCAGAACCACAGAAATCTCTTCAGTTCACAGACTATGAGCTTATAACAGAAATAAATATTTTACAGAGAGATCATTTTCGGGTGTACAATTTTTCTGTACAATTTAGAGTATTTTTTGGTCTGTCTTCTGTCTGTCTGTCTGCCTGGCTGTTAATAATAAGGTTGGTTTGTGCCACTTGGCTTCAGCAGTCCTTAAAACTCGCCAGGGTTTTAAAGCTTGAAACAGTTGTGCAGGTCTTTAATTGTAAATTAGTTTTGACAGGACTGCTAAGACAAAGGCCTGGCCCATCCCATCGTGATGCTAGCCGACAACCCCTTACTGCTCCTGGAGCAAGGAAACATGTGGAAGGAATTGTTCTTTTACATTTCACAGCTTGTCATTTCCTCTGCAGGGCAACCTCTGACCTCCCCGAAAGATCCTGACACCCATAAGGGAAGTATTCCCACTGTTGTAAAGGAAGTGGAAAAGCAGTTTAATGCTGTGAAAGGAGGAGAAGCGTGTGTGTCAGAAGAAGCTGTGAGGAAAAGAGAAGAGCTTAAAATGCTTCCAGCAGGTTAGGACTTTTATTGCGCTACTTAATTTACTGAAAGTCTGCAAGTAGATCTGCTTGGCATGTGTGTAAATACCCCCATTTGCCTTCCCCTTCACCCTGTGATATCATCTCATCATTATTTCACTGGGCAAAGAAAGTGATGGAAGAGTTTAAATCAATTGTTAGGGATCAAAAGCAGCTTAGGCAAAAAGGTACAGAAGCGGTAGACTCCCCTGTCTAAAATATATTTGTAGGCCAAATGTGTTAGTAATTACAAGGTGTGTGTGCAGTGCACTGACAACATTAGATTATGGCTGGTGTTTCCGTGACATTTTTACATCCTTTCATTTTATTTGGTCATTTATATCCATGGATCACAACATGTTGCTCTTAGGTGCTTGGGAAGTACTTTTTCTTCCTGCAGCACATTAATAGCAATATCCTTTGTTAATTGTGCTGAGCTAAATTGCATAAAAGAGCCTGTCTGTGTTTACATCATGCAAAATTTGCTTCTGGGGCATGGGATTTCTTCCAAATGCCAAGCCTTGCAAGTTGCTATGGTGGGGTTTATTTTTCTTGATTTTGTCTTATTTGTTTATTTGTTTGTATTGGATTTTTTTGAGATTTTTTTTTTTGTTAGTTTGTTTTCTGTTTTGTTTTAAGTCCTAGGTAAAAAAGTATTTATCTGAGAATTGAGTAATATAACCTCTAGGTCCTCTCCTAAACTCAAGGACTGCCATGATGGCCAGAGGCAGACTTACCATGGGGCAGGGATTTGAAGGTGCCAAGGATATGGATATCTATTCACATTTCATAGCCCTGGCTAGTGCATAGAGATGGAAGTGCAAGTGGGTATGAATTAATCACACCTTTTGAAGGGAGAGGGTGACTTTCCTTCTGTTCCAGGAAGCTGTAATATTTCATGGTTAGACACTGAACTGTGAAATATTAGGTAAGAGAGGGCTACCTGAGGTCTGACAGCTACCTCTTACCTGTGTAAACAGCAGCTTGTTGTCTTCTTCAAGTCTGTGGGCTCCTTGAAATGATGCAGCAGAACTTTGGATGAATGTCAGTTTGAAGCCAATGCCATCTTCTCTTTCACAGCAAGCCATGAAATGTCATTCAAAAATAATTTCTTTGCATCCATCCTTCTCTGTTGACTGTCCAGGAAGGCTAGAACTATGCATCTGCTATTATAGGTGCATGTGCTGAATATCTCATGTTAAGTGGGCAGAAACAGAGGTATGAACTAGTCTGGCATTGCCAAGTCTGGACTCATAAATGCTGGATATTGATATTGAATATCACAGATGCGTGATAATAATACAGAATTGGTGCCATTTTTTGTTAAAAGGATGTTTGTGACAAAATGTTAAGCATATTACAGAAAAAATAAAAATTTTCAGTCTTGCAAGGGTTCTCATTAGATGCCCTGAAAAGATCAAGACCTAACATGCCTTTTCTAGAAATTGGTTCTTCTAAGAACATAAACAGAGCTCAAGTGTAGAAAATTTGTTCAACTTCTGCATTACTAGAATCTACTTTGAAACTTATTTTGTTCATTTGCCCAGCATGAGTTGCGCAAAGCAGCTTAAAATACTCAAAATAGTAAAATTATAAGTAACCTACATGAACAAAAGCATTTTAAAATAACGTTTAGCAGTGTTTGACATTTTCTTTTGTCTGCTTTTAATTTTTTTTTTCTGATTTATTTTCCTTGCCAATATTTGGATGTTTCCATCTTTAGAGTGTGTCTCAAAACCCAATTATCAGTTGTGCACGTATTCCTTCTCTCCTCTTGCCATCACTAATGTTTATCTAGATCTAAGATCTAGCATGTTGAATTTTTATTCAAAATATTTATGTGGAGTTTGGCAGAGACCCAGTGGCAAACACAGCATTTTAGAACCCACACTTTCAGTTCAAGACAGCCTCTCACAAATACCTGAAACCATGCAGTCATCATCAGATTTGAATAGATATATTTAAAAGAGAATACTATAATTGACTGAGGACTAAGTGTATATATATATATAAAATCCATAGACTTTGAATTAGGTGAAAAAAGTTTTTGCTATCTTTATTCATGAGACAACAGAAATTTTCCTTGATGAACTCAGTTTCTGGTACTGCATCTATTGCATATTATATTAATGAAAAACGTGTTTCAAAAGTCACATCACTAAAGCATAGATTTTCTGTGATGGAACACTGTCAATAATGTCACCACTAAACTCATTATATGCACTCAGAATGATGGAGAGAAAAAAAATCTTCATTTTGAAATCCCCAGATGCTTTTTGCAGGATGACATCTAAACTAGGATTTATACTGTACCTGATGTTTAATTTGAAGCTTCAACAGTGCCTGCATTTTTTTCTCCACCCATGCTCATCCCAGCAGGCACCTTATGCCCATTTCCCTCATATGAAGCCAAATTTCTTTTTTCAAAACCCCTAGTTATGCATGTACCACAAGCGAAAACCCTGGAAACACATGAAATATTTGTCAAAAATATTGTAAGTCAAACTGTTGCAAGCAACTGGCATTCTGCTCATTTTTGGGGTTTGACAGAACCTCTGGGATTCCTTCAGCTCTCTACTCTATTTTATCACCTTTCCAGGGCATACTCAGGATAAAGTCTTAGCTCCTGTTTTCAGATCTTCCACCTCAGAAGGTATCTTTTGCTTGATGTCCGTCTTCTGAAACAAACTGGAGTGTTGAAAATAAGATGTTCAATATTGTTCATATTAAAGATTTCAAATTCAACACTCTGCATTTGTGGAGAAACGTTGGGAAGTTAATTTTGTCCTTTTGTGACGTCAAGAGACATTTCTGTCAGAGCAAAGCTTCAGAATAAGGGCTAAGCAAAGATGGCATCAGGCTAACCAAGGGGTTTATCACAGTAGCAGCAGATAACATTCAGAACTGTATTCAGAATTTATTAAGATGTTCCTTCCATATCAAAATACCAAACACAAAACCAGCTTCATTCTAATTTTATCATTGCCTTTGGAGAGGAGGCTTTACATTTGTTAAAATGTGCTTATATAAGTGTGCTTATTTGTTGAGAGGATTATATTTATGCTCACAAGCATTTCAGAAACAATTTTATGAAAACCAGTGAATCTTCATTGCAATATTTCTCCTTACACTGCAATGACATTCTTTCCCTACTGAGGTGCTGTTTGCATCTACATAAAATTTGTATGCAAATGCAAAAATAATTGCTTAACAAAAGAAACAAACACAAAAAAAAGCTGTTCTCATTGGTAATTCCTCATGGGTGCCACTTTAAAGGAAACAAAGTGGTATTTTGGAATCAAGATTGCTTACCCCTCATTTTTTAATACAGGTAGGGCCCCAGAGACAGAGCTTTGTATGGCTGAAACTTTCTTCTCTGCTGGTCTTTTCCTTCTCTGAGGCAGATGTTGCATAAAGGATTGCATTGATTTTTCCAGCTGGAATCAAATTCAGATCCTGCTTATGGTTCTGAAATCCACACAATCCAAACTCTTCAGTTTTCCAGCTCTAGCCATGCTATTTGATTTCCCATAGACTAGTGCATTACTAGGAAGCGAGTCTAAATAGGATCCTCATCTTATTTTCTATCCCTGCTGTGGTGATATTTTGTCTTCTGCTCCAGTCTTAGATTGCACCACTCAAAAACCCTTTCCTACTGACTTAAAGAGAGGTTGCTGAACTTTCCTTCTCCTCTTTGGTCCCGTTTTTTTGGCCTGATATAAATCAGAAGTGGTTCCCATCCCATTAAAACTTGTGTAAGGTGATTTCCTAGATGTGCTATTTCTTTTTGCCCATATTTTTAAAAAATCTTTTAGACTCCCCATTCCCCCATACATAAATTATAAGTATTTCACAGTTATCAACCATACATGCATTTAGGGTGAATCTCAGCAAGGGAAAATACTTTAGATATGATTAGATATTAATGGGCCATCAGTTAACAGGACCAGACTAAAAAGACTGGTCTGACATAAAATCTTCAACACACACTGGGGTTCTCACTGTTCAATGGTGCTCCCCAACCCTTGGTTTCATTCTACAGGTTCACTCCTGTTGCACCACAGTACTTGTTATAGAAGGCATAACCAAAGATGATAACTTCCAGACTGACTGCAGAGGGTAAAAAATTATCAAGTGTTATTCTGCAAGGGTTAGGAAGATTTTAATTTAATTTAATTTTTAAATTTAATTAATTTTATTTTAATTTGGGAATAATATTTTTTTTTGTCTGCAAGGGTTAGAAAGAGTGTTAAGACACCCTTTAAGGGTGATTTTAAAGGTCATGCTATTATGCTCTGATATTGCCTTGAGAAGGCTGACTGTGGATAAGGGTAACAGGGTAGCAGTAATGTTTTTGTTTCCAACCTCTTTCCATGGTATTTTAAAAACTGAGGTCCAAGCAGAGCTCAGAGATTTTATATGGGTAAACCTTTCTCTGCATCCCTTATCAGGCATGATCCATGTGGTATCTAAACCATTTGGTTGGGATTTAATATGACCCATAAATGACGGCTCTCAGCATTGTAAAGGTCTGCAAATAACCTTCATATCACCATGATTTTCCAAATCCAGACATTAGTATTGTCCATGCCCATTCCACAGTGGTGAGAAAAAATGCCACTCTTTTTTTCCTGTTTGTCTTGTATGAACATAGACATTTAAACTATTCTGCTGAACTTATTAACAGCTGATCACAGATCCATAGCTTTGGATTAGGAATCTTATTGTCTCTTCCATGCTCTGGTGTAATCATATTTTCCTGCTTTTATGCATATGTTTCTTGACTTCCAAATAAAGCTGTTAACAGAGAGTTTACATCTGCCACTGTGCCTTTGTCACAGCTATGATACCTGTCTTTGATCATTCTTTCTTGGTCCTGTTTTCTCCTCCTCAAATTGTTCATTTTTATCATGAATGATATTATGTTCCCCTGTCAGAGAACAAAATGTATTTTGAGTCAATTTACTAAAATAGTCACTGCTAAGTGTTATATCTGCACAAAGTTGACACCTTTGACATTTTCTAAAATGGCAAAAATAACAGTATTTAAGGTATGATTTATGGGTACTCTATGTCAAAGGAATTTTTATGCTATTACAGTTCCTGATGCAGCATTCCCAACTCCTTCAATGAACAAATTGCTGATAGTGCAGCTAATTAATGCTTTATTAGTTTTCTGTGGTCAATTATAAAAAGTTATAAAAAAGTAAAATGCAATTTAATAATGAAGAACTGTGTGGTTCTTGTTTCTCTCTCAGAACCACTTTGTTTTTTGCATGTGGAAGAAACAATTTCTACACAGCTCAGTTTTATAAGACACATTCACTTCCCCCCAGCCAATAAGCAGAAGGAACTCCTATGATTAAAAAGTAGACTGGAGTCTTTAAATGCCTTTCTGATTGCTGGCCTCTATTAAAAACTTCTTAAAATAATAGATAGGTTTAATTCCTCAAGCCAAAGAAAAATTGTATCATCTTAAGTATTTTCCATATTTATTATATTGATGAGATTTGGCTGGTGAGAAAAAAAGGGGAAGTAAAATCTCTTGTATTGCGAGTTTTAAATGTACCAGGCTAAGGTTTACTTAATTAGAACCTCCAGGCAATAAAGGAGCCCTTTTTTAAATTCTGTGAATCTTAATATGCTAAATAATGCAAAGCTTCAACTCTTCAAGCATGAGACACACATCTGGCAGCTTAACATTTAAATTACAGGAAAAAAACCACTTCAGTAGTAATTTTCATGAAGAAAAGAATGGGAAATGTATTACAACTAAATTTAATTTCTTTTTAGATTTTTCATCCTGTCTAATTGCAGGCATTTCCCATCTTGTCTTTTATTTATTTATTTTCATACAGATTTTTTTCTGTACTTTTTATTGATCTTTAATTTGAGCAGCTTCTTACTGTTACAGCCATTGAAGAATTACATTGTGTTTTTACTTAGCAAAAATTGTTCAGAAAAATCTATGAGGAATTAAAGTAATGAGCTCAGTGGTATAGAAAGAAAAGAGCATTCAGAGCCTTACAAATAAAATATAAAAAGAGCATGTCATGATTAAATAACAGACTTGAGTTCCTTCTCCCTCCCATTTCTTAAGTGTAGAATATTATTGTTTTCTTTATTCTTTTTATTGTCCCATTTCTTTTTTTTTTGCCAAGATAATTACTGCTTTATTCATCTGACTCCAAAAACATTGTTAAAGTATTCATCATTTCAGCAAGGCTGTTTGGAAAGCCATATTTGTGTACTGGGGAAAAAAAAAAAAAAAAAAAAAAAAAAAAAAAAAAAAAAAAAAAAATTAAACAAAGAAAAACCACAGGAACCATCTTTACAAAGGTATATTTATATTTTAATGTGCATTTATGGGTCCATGCATGTATCCCATATACAAGATACGTAGCGACAGTTTGAGCAGGTTATACTGCATGTGTGCCCACGTGACATACCCAGCAGCTGTATTTCATGCCATTTTGCTGAATTCAGTAAAACCTCTTCTTTCATAAATATATTTATATATTTATATAATATATATAATATATAATATATATATATATATATTTCATAAATATCTGTAAATTCCTCATTCACTATGAGTGCTCAACACATCTACACACCTGTACATATGTGTATATATACATATGTAGAAAGTAGGAAATACAGGAGTGTACACAAAGACAGCCTTTAAACTGTGACATTGTATGTACACATTTTGTGTATCAACCATTGTAACACCTAAGAGCAGATCCTTCCTTTACTGTGATTTTAAAAGCACTAGACTGTCCTTTACTGTGTGCAACTCAAAATAACTTAAAAAGAAAAAAAAAAAAATTGAAATAGTTGTTAAATGTGTTTTTGGCTTACTCTTCATGTGTCATACATTAAGGAGTGTAGTACAGACCTTTATTTTTGCCACACCACTGCTTACTATGATGTGGGAGTCCATTTTTGTTCATTCCACAGGTCACTGCTTTTCAGGAGCTCCCTCAGGAGCTTGAGGGGCATGTGACTTGTGTTTTCTAAGAAAAGTTTATTCAAGTACCTCATGTCCCTGTGCCTCATTCTTGATCCACAACTATGCCCATATAAGAAAATTAACCTCCTGCTGTCTTCTGAAGAACACTTCCTGGGGCATTTAAATACCCTCCCATGGCATTCTTCTTGTGTCTACTATTTCTTTATTTCTACTTTCCCCACCATTTTTCATCTATGCAATTGTTATTTCTAACACCACAGCATCTGAAGTCTTCTCTGCATTTATCATAGTATCACTTTCAGAACGTAGGAGAGAAATAACCACCTATTTATAACTCAGATGGAGGGGGAAAAGTGATCAGCCTGAAGTCAGCCAGCATCTTGTTGCAGGAGGGAACCAGCTGCTTCCTTTACAGAGGTTTACCTTCTGCACAAATATAAAAATAATTTATGTTTGTTTCATTGGTTTTTTTTTCCCTTACAGAGGATTGCCAAGATTGCCATGGCAATGCAGACAAGCACTGTGGCTCTTTTTGGCTGAAGGAAATCCAAGGAGGACATCACAAGGTACTGGTCTTGATATGAACATCACCACCTCCCTTAAAGCTCACAGAGAAGCCACTGGAGCTTTTACATGTGCCATTTGAGAGTGATTTGTGGTCTTGCTTGCTCTAGTTGTTTCTTTAATCTATCCCTATGAATTTTTTTGTAGCCAAAATAAAGCTTCACATGTCCAGGTGTATAGCTGTCTCCTGTACAGTGAATCTCTTCAGCAATGAAACTTCAAAGGAGGAGTAGGAAGGACCACTGAGCAATCAAACAGTAGCTTGATCAAGCTGCAGGATGATATTATTTCAGTACTGTGTAAACATGAGATAGGTTTCATATGCATCCATAAGCTTCAAGCTCTCGTGTACTTGTGCAGAAGACTATCAGAAAATTTTAGTATATGTATTTGTAGTATCCTGGCCAAGGACATCATTAATTTGTGGACAAATATTGTGTCCTCGGTGCAAGTTACCATGGAATTTTTTCTGCAACAGGATAACACTTTCAGGGTGAGATGCTCCTAAAACTTTCAGATTTCATGTAAATACTGAGAAATAAGACACAAAGAAGACTTTGTATTCCTGAAAATTGCTTCTCCCTGCACTAAATTATTAAATTAGATATTTTCCAATGATAGTTGCATTTTTTTTCTCTGTAAGTGTTGTTCCACTTCTAACCTTAAATCAGTATGGCTGCAGTGAATGAACTGCAAACATGAACATTCAAATTAATCATTCTGGTAATTTGTCTCACCCTGTTCTAGATACACCCTGAAGCATTTTTAATACTTTCAATTGCCCATAGGAAAAAATCACCACAGTACTCAGAGTACCCAAAAACTTGTGTAGCGTAGCACAAACACTCAATGGCTGGGGATTACAATTGCCACTTTTAAATTTAGTAGAATGATGATCTACATTTGAGAGCAAAACCAGACTGGCCAACTGGATATTCCCTTGCTTTTCAATGTCTCAGTTTCCAAGTGATTTATTTCTTCAGGAAGATAGGGATAACTTGAAGAAAACAGAGTTTCATATAAATATAGCTGCAGACTGAGGTGTGCATGCGTGTCTGTGTTTATATCTAGAGGAGGGATGATTTAAAGACTGATGGAATGGGTGTAATGGGCAAAGCAACCCGGCCCAACCCATGGGAGTGGCAGAGTGAAATTCATTTCCTACAATCCCATAATATCACAGTGCCTTTGAACAAAATGCCATGGTCTTATAGGCACCTCAGTTGTGGGTGGCTCTCAAAGCCACATTAAAGTGACCTGGTTTCAGCGAGGTGCGTAAACCCATGGGTAATTCACCCTGTCTAGTCCCTTTGGTCTCACTGAGATGATTCACAAGCTTACAGTTATTGACATGTTTGAATAGATTTCTGAACTGAGCCTCTTACGAGAATCCTTCTGCACAAAAGAAATGTGAGCATGTGAAATCTCCTTTCAGAGGTTGTGAGAGCCCCTCATTTCTAATGGGATAAGTGAATCCTAATGTTCAGAGAGAGCCTTGTTTTAGGATGTTCAAGATTTAGGCATTTGACCTGATTTATATAATTTGGGTCTAATTGTATCTTTGGATAGTATCTTGTAAAATAATTTTACGCAACAATTGGATATAGAAAACAATGACTAATGTAAAGAACAGACTTAAGGAAGAAGACACAAGTTCATGTAGTGGTTTATTCTCCTCCTTTACTTTTTGTAAACAGATATTTTATTTTATTTTTTTATTTTATTTTATTTTATTTTATTTTATATCAAGAGGAATAAGAAAGATCTTTGAGTCTGACCTCAACTTTTTGGGGAGTATAAATTTCTCTGCTTTGCCCTCACTGCTCCCAAATTAATCTGTGGTAAAGAGGTGCAAATGGTCTCTCACTAAGTGTATTCTGAGTGATGGGCATTGGCAACAATTCAGCTTTTGTCACAATGAGTGTGCAAATCACTGCATGTATTAAGATATGGAATGTATCAATAAAAGACAGAATGCTCACAGTCAGTGATTTCTGAGAGAGGTAAAGCATTCTGTGGTTATAATGCCAACCTCATGCAGATGACTGAGTTTCTGCTTTTTGTACCTCAGACAAGAGCAAACACAGTCTCAGAGAAATTAACTCATAATACTCTTTAACACCTTTGAGATTTCTGTCATAAATAAGATCTTTACTTTACAAAGGAATAGTTTAATGCAGACAATGTCAGTGCAAACAAAGTATGTTGCACATGCTACCCATTCTGAAACTTGACTTCTAGGGAATAAATTGGGGCAGTCATGTGGCTGAAATTCAAAATGTGCATGAGATCTATGCAATCCAAGATTCAGAGCACAAATTCACATTTTAAAACAAAATGGTTTACAGAGTAAAAAAAAAAGCAACAAAAGATCAACCAAAAAAACACCACCAACAAACCCCCCCAAAAAAAACCCCAAACCAAACCAACCAAAAACCCCCAACAAGCAACCCAAAAAACCAAACAAACCAAAACAAAAACAACTAAACTAAAATATTTGTAGTTTTCATAATTAGGAAAGTGTAAAGTGGCATGACTGCAATGCATCCATTCCCTTGTCCTCTCTGGACTTGTTCACTAAATGCTAGCAAACCCTTTGCACAATTTGGTATTGTGCCTGGGAAGGTATTAATAGATATCACCATGGAAGTCACCATGATATTTGTCTGGTAAATTATGACCTCATCGTGTCTCTTGGTGGAAGTGATGTTTGGCTTTCTGTCCAGGGGCAATAATGCCAAACATCCAGGGAATCTGATATTCAATTCAGAGGGACGATGCCAGTGCTGAATCAGACCCTGTGCATGCAAAGGTGTTATTCCAGGGATGAGCACAGATCAGGATCCTCTACTTTGTAGCTGAAAGAGTAGTTTAAATGAGTTTAATGAGTTTAAATAAAACTGGCACTAGCACTGAAAGGTGCGGTCCTGTCCCTCTCCTTTGTGCTGGCAACTGGGGCAGGGTGGCCTGGATCAGAATGGGTCCAGCTGAGAGCTAACCCAGTTAATATAAGAAAAGATAAAAAAAGGAGCCAAACAGTATTAATTCCACTCCCAGATCAGTTCCCTCCTTATGTCTTACTATGGACGTGCCCAGATTTTTGCACTGACAGAGTGTGGTGTGCAGCACTGGAAAAGGCAAGTGGGTGGAGGAAGACTGGCTGACTGCTGGTGTCACCATGAGCTTGCACCTCCTTGAAAGGGCTTGTCCCACGATTTTCAAATGCTGAAAAGGTCCTTGGGTGTGTCCAGAGGAGGGTAAAATAGGGGGCTGGAAGGCATGTCCTGTCAGGTGTGACTGAGGACTTGTGTAGCTTGGAGAAAAGCAGGCTCAGGGGAACCTTATTCTTCTCTACAGCTTCCAGGGGAGGAAAAGGGGAAAGGGAGAGCTGAGATCTTCTTGCTCATATTCAGTGATAGGACATGTGTGAATGTTTCAAAGATGCACCAGGGGAGGTTCAGACTGGACAGCAGTCAGAGATTCTTTACTGAGAGGATGGCCAAAATCCCAGAAGAGTCTTCTTAGAGAGGTGGTTGATGTCCCCAGCCTGTCAGTGTTTAAGAGGCATTTGGACAGTGTCCTCAACAGCATGCTTTAACTTTTGGTCAGTTCTAAATTGGACCACAGATGCTTGTCGTAGGTCCCTTCCAATTGAAATAGGCTAGTCTTTTCAAAGTGTTTTGAATACATATTCAAAGCAGCTTTGTCACTGCTGCTTCCCATGTTGTTACAGAGTGAAAACAGAGCTAGAAGTCAAAACAGAGAAAATGGCACCTCTTTGCTAGCTATGTCCAGCTAATTACCTCAGTGTTCTAACTTGTTTCTTATTTTTATTTAAAGGTCAGCTGGAATAACCCACCTGACCAATGTTATGAAGAAAACTCAGGTCTCAAGAACAATGCAAGCCGAGAAGCAGGGAAAACATCTGCAGAGAGTAATTTTTATTTGGAAGACTTGGAGAAATATACCTTTTCTGTGTGGTAAGTGACCTCAACATCAAACAGTTTCACAACCTGAAAGTTTGCCTTGCTATATGTGCATTACAGAGGCATCTACCATTAGATGAAACTTATTGGCCTGAAAAAACCCAAAAAACCAAAAACCAGAACTCATGGGATTTTCTTGGATTTCTCAGTATTATTTATGATTGAAGTTGAATTAAAAAAAAATTGGGAGTGCTTTTTGTCTGAGAATGCAATTTTGTCATTGCTGCATTGTTTTGAGAAGCTGTGTCAGGGGAATAAAGGCAAAAATATTTCCAGCATAATATTTTCAGCATTTTAGGGAGCAATACGCTACCTTTTTTTGATGCTACTTTGAATATTATTACTATTCTCTATTATAAAATCCACATATGGGAAATGACTTAAAATGAATAGATAAATTAAAGTGAAATTAAAAAGGCTACATCAAAATGAAATCTTTTCATTTACTTATAATTATATTTCCTGGAATTTCATCTTCTAGGTAATTCCAAAAGTTGGACAGTTATTTGTATTTAGTAAAAAACAATGAAGACCCAATCCTTTACTAAATGAAATGATCTGATTGATAATCTTTCATATAGCTCCCTACTGTGCTTTGAATATTGCAAACCCAGCTGTAATGTACATTTCTGGCACCCATGATCTCCAAATCAGCCCCTAGTGTTTCAAATAAAGCATCCAGAAAACAAACATCAGAATAAGGTGTATGTCTGTGAAAATTTAGTTTTAAGTTACTTCCATATCAAAACACAAGACAGGATTATCTCACAGGCAAGCCAAGCAGCCTTCAACATTTCTAGTGCTGTCTGTGCCCTGCTCTCATTTCCTTTGCTGCCTTTAAAATTGGCAGGAAGTCAGGTAAAGACCTTATGGACCCCAAGTGCATTTTCACTGTGGCAATCTGAACTCAGCCCTAGAGGTGATTAACCCTGAGTACTGGAGAAGGCAGACATCGGGCAGAAGAATAATACACATTCATATAATTAGGCTTCCATAATTCTGATGGATTAATTATGGTTATTTTGGACAATTAAGGACTCCCCCATCCTGGTTATAATATAAGAATGGATTTTAGAGTAGCAGTGCTCATCCAAATATCCTTGCCAACTCCCAATGTTTCATTTTACCTACCTCAATTTTAAAATTAAATTAACCAAATTATCATCAATTATCTATCTGCTTTCTGTGGTGGTGAACTTCACTTTCTCTATTCCATGTCTTGCAGAGTTACAGTGATAGAATTAATATTTAATTGAATATGCCCCATTCCTGGAAGCATTCAAGGCCAGGTTGGATGGAGCCCTGGACCACCTGGTCTGGTGGAAGGTGTCCCTACCCATGGCAGAGGGTGTGGAACTAGGTGGCTTTTAGGGTCCCTCCTAACCCAAGCCATTCTGTGGTTCTGTCTGCCTTTAAAGTCAGTAGCATTGATCCTTTATTCTTTTCAAAGTTGTTCAGCTTAAAAGTGTTGGGAAAGAGGCCCCACCCCATGCTTATCAACCTGGCCCCAGGCTTTGAACTCCATGGCTTTTGCAATTGCACAAGGTATCTGGAGGAGCAGAGGGGACAGGCACTTGTCTCTGTTGAAATGCACCTCACCTTCTGATTTCTGGAATAGGAGAAAATGACTGCCCTTTCTTCTATTTTGTTTTCTACTTCTTTTCCTTGTCCTTTTCTAGGGAGCCCAGCTGCCCCTGAGCCCCATCCCTGCAAGGACCCTGCCTTTGCCAGGGTTCCCTGGGCAGGCAGAGTTTTATCTGGGCTAAGGAAGTTACAGGGCATGAACCAGATCTTCCTGGTACAAAACAAATGCAACAAGGCACATGACAGGGTGCTGCCTGTCCTAGCTGAGGCCAGTATTTTGTTATTTCAATATGCCATTCTATTTACTGTGTCTGTCATCCTGTTGGAAATAAGGACCAGTTCTTGCTTTATTTACTTATTTGTTATGTTCAAGTCCCATGACGTTAGAACAAAACAGAATTTAGAGGGAATCTCTTTCCTTTCTGCTTCATTTGTGGTGATCATTTTTATCAGAAAGAAAAAAAACAAACAGGAAAATGAAATTACTCCACTCTTGGCCAAGTAATATAAGTATTACATATAGTATGCCATGTAATGATAATATAATAACATTATATAATATAAGAATATAGAAATAATCTATTTTTTAAATAAAGAGTTAATTCAGGAAATTTACTTGGGAATCTGATACCTTGTGAGTTGTTAATTCCATTTGTTACTATACCAGCATGATGTTTCGATTGTTACTCACTTCTGTCTCTCTCCTCCCCTTCTCTCCTACTTTCTCCATCAAAGGGCATCAACTCCTCTTTGTCTGTTTCCAGACCTTCCTCTCTACTACAATTGCTACCTTTTAAAAAATGCAATGTAAGATAATTAGCTACTACAAAAATTTTTAATAGCACTGTAGATCTGGGGGCAGCTTAGATCTCCACAAACTTCAGAGTTTTAGATGCTCCAAGATGCAATCTGAGCAATTTCCTTGATCTTTTATTGCAGCTGGTAAATCATTTATTGGGCTAGGTTATTTTACAAAATCCTCTTTAAAAACAAAATCCCATAAAATGTATTTATCATAAAGTACTGCACGACCAACAATCTTCAAAGTTATACATACCCTGTATTAATTAAAAGCTAGTGTTGTACTGTGACAATTTAAAAGTATCCACTGTCTCAGTCTCTCTCTTCCTGCCCCCACACCCCGCCTCTCCCACGATTTTTTCTCTATTCTTTTCTTTCTCTCATATTCCCTTCTCTTTTAAGGCTTGCCAAAGGGAAGATTGGTGAGTACGAACAAGAAATTCTTTTGTGATCACAAATATTTTTCTGATAATTGGGATTTTGGGTTTTTTTGTTGCTTCCATTGCTATAGCATGCTTGTCCTTCTCCCTTCATATTAATTTGACAGTGGTGTCTCACATCCGTAGGCCATAGTCAAACCTGCTTACAGTGGGCATTATACACATATGTAATAAAAAGATCATTTTGGCTGCAGAAGCCCACAGGCTTCAGCTTCGATCTCGCAGAGTACACGAGTGCCTTTCCCCCAGTGCCCACGTACAGCCTTGCTCAGAGCAGCAGGCGTTTGCTTGGGTCCAGTGAGTTGAGGGTAAGGGGGATGAGTCCCAGAGATGAGGTGAGGAATAAGAGGTTAAGACAACAGGCAAATGTGGTTGTGTAGGGCCATCCATTCTGCTGGTGTTGTCAGCTGCAGTCACAGCCTGGTAGATGCCAGGTACACACCAAGTGCTTTGCTGACCTTCCTGGAGAGCCCACCCCATGCCCTTGCCTTGCACCGCAGCATCACTGAACCTGCCTTCTCTGGGATTTCTGTTCCTGGAGCTAAAAGCCTGTGTAATCTGCAGCAGAACATCAAAATTATTCGTGACTATTATTCGTCTGAATAATACGGGTGAGATCTGTAACCTTGAGAATAAAGGAGGAAAGTTTGGAGGAATTTTGACCTTGCAGCCCAAAATCTGCTGTTAGAAGCTCTCTGGCTCTCTTCTGTTCCCTGAAACAAGGGAAAAATGTTCTTCATGACTATTTGTCACTATAAAGACAGATTTCCTGAACATGTATAAAAAAAAAAAACAGATGTGAGAAATAATTTCAACACTTCAATGCTTTAACTTTGCTTTTTATATACGGTTCTAGAGGAGACGTGAAAAAGACCTCAGATTTCAAAAACCTTCCTTTGTCTTAATACAAAAAAAAATAAAATAATGACATACACACTTTCTGTGACTTTAGAAATCTTCTGAGTTTAAATATAAAAACCAGCAGTTTCAATTGCCAACAACTTATCATCAAACACAGCTCTCAAGGGTTAATATTACACAGTAATATAAAAGTAACGATCATCCTTTGTCTCCATGCAATTAGCTTTTTAACAACGTGCCTGTAGCTCCTACCCAGGCTAAATACTGCTTTGAAATATTTTTCTCCTCAACTCCAAATGTGTAAAGCTGACTCTGGCCAGCTTCTATAAAACCAATTAATTGTAGGGCACCGCCTTTTGTGGGGGAGTACCCAGTGCCCCACGCAGCAGTGCCATGTGTTGCCCATGGTGGCTTGGTAGCACCAGACAGCATCTTGATGCAGGAGACAGGCTGGTAAATCCTATCTAGAGCCATATTCCTGCATTTCTGGAATCCAGGGCATTGGACCAGCCTTTGCTTCTCACTCACACCCATCAGGATCAGATGCAGCTCTTGTTCAAGAGAGCTAGAAAGGGGATGGTGAGGACAAAATGGGTTCTTGTCAGCATGTGACAGCCACCAACAATCCTGCCTTTGCACCTGTAGACTTCATGATTTTTGTTTATTTTTTATTCCAAATTGAGGAGGATACTGAGGGGCAGGAAGAGTTAACCATAAAGAGCACAATACAATAAACTTGTTTTTCATATAAAGACAATAAACTTTCCCTTTATAATACACATGTGATTTGACATTGAAATAAATGCAGATGCTTCTTTGCTTCGTGTATTCCCTGTTGTGCTTTCTAAAACACCTTCACATATGGTTTGCCTCATTCCTGTGAAACTGCTTGTTGTTTATGTCATACAAACAGAACAGATTGAATTTATACCAAGTTAGGAGGGTGATGAATCCTATGTTAGAGGAAAACCCTTGCCTGAGTGTTTTGAATTTGTTCAAAATTAACATTGCCTGTTAAAAATTGCCCTGGATTGTCCCTTGAGCTTTTCTAAAGATTTCATTAAAAAAAAAAAAAAAAAAAAAAGAAAAGAAAAAAAGAATTCTGTGGCTGCCTATAAATGCAACCTTTTATTCAAATATGTAACATTTACCTAAAATCAAAGGTCAAATTTTACCAGCTTTTTATAGCAGTCCTAGTAGGATCTGCTTCATGCACTATATATAAAATACTGCCATTAAGAGCGGATATTCAACTTCCTTTGTGAAAAGCAGAATAACCCTTTACTGCTTGTTTTAAAAAGTGCTAATCTTTTAAAAATTTCTCAGTAACTTCTGATAGTCTGCCTAAACCCTGTTTAAATTTTTCTAATTCCATTTTGGAATATAATTAAAGGCAGGCCAAGCCTGAACTCTTAGGAGAAATCCAAAGTCCCACTATTTTCTTTGAATGCTTTCAAATCTTTCACATTATTCTTAAAAATGCTTAAGCTTTAGTTTTGTAAGCACAGTTCCCTGATTCTGAAGTCTTTGTGGGGCGTTTTTTTTGCAGGCAAATCTCAGCAGGAGACAAGTCATGTTTATGTTTTGGCTTGGTTTTCTTAGCATATTCAGATATTAGATGGTGTTTACTTTGGTGCCTGTTCTCAAATCTTTGAGGATTGAATTTTTTACAGCAGTCCAGTACATATATCTGTGGAGATTTTGCTTTAGTTTTAGTCTCATGGGAGATTTTTCTGCTACAGAAAAAGTTTACTTTTTGGAAAATTATTCTATGGAAAAATCATTAAATATGACAATGGAATTTTTACTATGTGCTCTAATTTTTCTGGGGCTGTTGGTTTCTTCTTTTATTATATAATTTAATTCATGTTTGAGCAAATCCCAATGAACCACACACATTCAGAGATTTTATTTCTTTCCTCTCTTAAGCAACAAAAAAAAAATATTTCCCTGTTCTGGTGCATTGTGGTAAAATTTTGCCAGTGAAACTTGAATGAGAAATAAGGTGTTTGGAAAAAATTTGAAATCAACAAAAAGTATTATTTCAAAATTAATCTAAACTTCTGGGAAAAAAATAGAAAACAATCTTTTTAGGACTGAAAATACATGAAACATGAGTCTTTCCTGTTTTCTCTGGGACTCTTTTGCAAAGCTCTCCAATTCGTATGCACACTCTTAATTTTGCCGGGATTTGATGTTGTTATGGTGATGGGAAACATGTACGATTGCAGTTACCTGTGGACTTCAGTGCAATTATACCTGATGATAATTTTATTTATATGTTTGGGGTGATGGAAAGGGTTGGCAGGCAATGTGCTTTCTCCTGCAGGTTCCAGAGCTGCAGAACTCCTCCAGCTGAGAGCTGGCCACTAGCAATAGAGAAGAGAAACTGTGATACAGATGAAATTAGTGATACAAAGAATTAGTTGAGAGCGTCAGTTGAGTGTTGTCAGTGACTGATCAGTCACAATTACTAGGGAGATGTTTGTCTGTATGCTTGGTGTTCTTTTTGTTCTTTTCTATTGGCTTTAATATTCTTGAAAGGAGTAGTGAGCTTAGGCATGGAGCAACTTCAGTACAGACCCAAAGTTTTCCTAGAGATCTTGTCAAGGGAATTGTGTGATTGACATCCGATTATGAGTAACGGAGCTGAAAGAGCAGGGAAAATGCTCCCCAGTGCTGGAGCATTTCACAGTTTGACCTAGACCTCTCCAGGATTGTGTGCTTATAATTCCTTGCCAATATGCTCTTTCTGTTCTCTTCCTCCATCTTAGAGAATTCTTATCTGGTAAAAGGGAAAGAATATGGTTCAAATTTGGTAATAGTAGGGGGAAAACTGTATGACTAACATGCAGCTCTTTGACAATAAATTGCTAATTTCTCTTCTGAAATATGGGGAATGTTGAGTCTCGAGTTACCAAGCAATGTGGGCTCACAAAGTTGTTGGAGCCTTTGCTGTGAGTGCAGTCAAAATATCTTCAAGACAGCACTGCCAGCTTTTCTCCCTTGCAGGCATTTCACACGATTCAGCTTGGATTTCTGCTCAGCACAAAAGCACTTTCTGACTTAGCTGAATTGCCCTTTGGTTTGTTCAGGCTCATAGGAGAGTAGAAGACTTGGGAAACTGGCTGTGAAACGTGGAGTTGAGAGAGATGTGGTTGTTGTTTGTCATTTAATAAACATTTTGTTTTCATGAGCTAGAAAAGATGAAATTACTGATGACTAGTGGGGAAAAGCGAAGCTATAAGTGTGCCATACATGGTCATCTCTAATGAATAGAATGAATAAAAATAATAAGTGCATTACATACTAACTGTCACATCTTCAGGGCACTACAGTAAATAAGTGGGAGTTATACATGTGCATTAGTAGCAAAATGGGTACCACACTTTGGATCCTATTGAGTACAATGTGGAGAGAAAAATATGATAGATTGCTGCTTTTTATCTGTCACTGCTGTGGCACAGAAGCATAGACCATATGTATGTAAAATGACTTTGTTATTTCAGTAAATTCTCTAACTCCTTCTGTTGTAGCCTGTAGCAAAATGAATAAGTAGCTGAAGATCCTGGTGGGATAGTTCTGATTTTATCAGAATAAAATACCTCTGCAGAGGAATAATTATTATTAAATAAAGTGATGTGTGACAAAACAGCCAGAGAAGTTAGCAGGGTCTCTGCTTTTACAGGTTTTCAGTACAAACAGATACTTCACAAAGGGTGGAAACAAGAAGCTCTGATGGTGAAGCTGAAAAGAGCAGGAAAGTTTGGGCAAATGTGGGCTTTGTTAACTGGGGCTCTTATTTCCTGTTTCAGAGGTGATGATAGAACTGTGGATGATGACATTCAAATTTCTCCTCCTCGATCACCTAGTGGAACCAATATTTCTTGCCTTCTATTTTGTCCTTCTTTAGATAGGATACAGTCTCTCCTTCTCTGGCAAAGTCAGATTTGGGCAGGGTGGGGATGAGGAGGGTAAATAGGAGAGAACAGAGAGGATCTGCCATTTGCCTGGCCTTTGATCTGAACATTTAAACCAAACTGCCAGGTTTGGGGGTCTGGTTACAAAATTCTGAATAAAATGCAGTCTGACTGCCCTTTGATTTAAGAGGAAGTCCAGCCAGTGAGGAATTTACAGTCATGCTAAATTC